GAGGTCCACTTCAAACCCTATTTGCCTGGGTATCATGAGTGGAGGCTGCAGAACAGCAAAGATTGCTGCCTGTTCCTTTCTCTGGAAGCTTTGTCCCAGAGGGGCACCTGCCAGGGCTCTCCCATGTGAGGTGTCTGTTGACCTCTGCTGGGCGGTATCTCCCAGTCAGGAGGCATGGGGGTCAGGGACCCACTTGAGGAGGCAGTCTGTCCCTTAGCAGAGCTCTAGTGCTGTGCTGGGAGATCCATTGCTCTCTTCAGTGCCAGCAGGCTGGAATGCTTAAGTCTGCTGGAGCTGCACCCACAGCTGCCCCTTCCCTGAGGTACTTTGTTCCAGGGAGATGGGAGTTTTATCTATAAGCCCCTGACTGGGGCTACTGTCTTTCTTTCAGAGATGCCTTGCCCAGAGAGGAGAAATCTAGAGAGGCAGTCTGAGTGCAGAGGCTTTGCCAGGCTGTGGTGGGCTCTACCAGTTCGAACTGCCCAGTGGCTTTGTTTATACTCTGAGGGGAAAACCGCCTACTTAAGCTTCAGTTAATGATGGATGCCACTCCCCCACCGCTCAAGCATCCCAGGTCAACTTCAGACTGCTGTGTGGGAAACAAGAATTTCAAGCCAGTGGATCTTAGCCTGGTGGGCTCCAAGGGGATGGGATCCATTGAGCTAGACCACATGGCTCCCTGGCTTCAGCCCCTTTCCAGGGGAGTGAAGGATTCTGTCTCACTGGTGTTCCAGGCACCACTGAGGCATGGAAAAAAAAAAAAAAGCTAGCTCAGTGTCTGCCCAAAGGCCACCTAGTTTTGTGCTTGAAATCCAGGGCCCTGGTGATGTAGGCACCCGAGGGAATTTCCTGGTCTGCAGGTTGGGAAAACATAGTATCTGGGCTGGAATGCACCATTCCTCATGGCAGAGTCCCTCACAGCTTCCCTTGGCTAGGGGAGGGAGTTCCCTGACCCCTTGCACTTCCCAGGTGAGACAACAGCCCACCCTGCTTCAGTACCTCTCTGTGGGCTGCACCCACTATCTAACCAGTCACAGTGAGATGCGCCGGATACTTCATTTGGAAATGCAGAAATCATCCACCTTCTGTGTTGATCTCACTGTGAGCTGCAGACCAGAGCTGTTCCTTTTTGGCCATCTTGCCAGCCTCCTCCGTACTGCTTTGATATCATCAGTGCAAATGTCAACACAGTGAAGAAGGCAGATGATTTCTCTGAATTACGGTGAAAGTAGTTTAACCCAAAGGACCTCCTGGAAAGTCTCGGGGACCCTCACGGGTCTGTGTGCCATACTTTAAAAACCACACCAAATCCCCGTGACATGCAATTTAGCTATACAACAAACCTGCACAGGTACCTCTAAACCTAAAATTAAAAGTTAAATAAAAATAAAAATAAAAACCACCCTTTTGCTGGGTGCGGTTGGCACATGCCTGTAGTCCCAGAGCTGGAGGATTGTTTAAACCCCGGCATTTGAGTTCAGCCTGGGCAACGGAGAGAGTCGAAGGCTCTATAAAAAGAAAGAAAAACCACCTCTTTAATCTCATCTCCAATGCTTTTTGGAGTAGCTTTTTAATTTTCATTGGATGGAGAGTCACTAAAAATTTATTTCACCCTGTTGAGAATGCTGAAGTGATTTATATTTTTGAAAATAACTTCCTTTGCTATTGTCTAAGATAGAGCAACAATAAGTGTTTTCTTTATTTTCATATGTATAAATGAGTAAAATGTACATTTAAAAGTATTTAATTGCACAAAAGTTAGTTTCTTCCTCTATTAAACATTTTGAAATATTTTTCTTAAATTTTCATTTATTTATTTTTTTGAGACAGAGTTTCACTCTTGTTGCCCAGGCTGGAGTGCAGTGGCACGATCTTGGTTCACTGCAACCTCTGCCTCCCAGGTTCAAGCAATTGTCCTGCCTCAAGCTCCAAAATAGCTGGGATTACAGGTATGCGCTACCATTCCTGGCTACTTTTTTTTGTATTTTTAGTAGAGACAAGGTTTTACCATGTTGGTCAGGCTGGTCTTAAACTCCTGACCTCAAGTGATCCACCTGCCTTGGCCTCCCAAAGTGCTGGGATTACAGGCATGAGCCACTGTGCCCGGCTGAAGGATTTCTTTAAACATTATTTCATGTATACTGTGGTGTTTTTGTTTTGTTTTATTTTGAATTTACACCAATAGTGAGTTTATTGTAGTTTTGCAAAAGAGGAAACTGAAGCATGAAATGCTGGAATGGGCCAGGATCAGTGGCTTATGCCTCATGCCTGTATTCCCAGCACTTGGCAAGCAGAGATGGGCGGATCACCTGAAGTCAAGAGTTTGAGATCAGCCTGGCTAACACAGTGTAACCCCATCTCTACTAAAAATACAGAAAAAGAATTAGCCAGACGTGGTGGTGCATGCCTGTTATCCCAGATACTTGGGAGGCTGTAGCAGGAGAATCGCTTGAACCCAAGAGACAGATGTTGCAGTGAGCCAAGATCGCACCACCACACTCCAGCCTAGGCAACAGAATGAGACTCCACCTCAAAGAAAAAAAAAAGAAATGCTAGAATGCATTTCCAGTACATTCATACACATAAACATATGTGAGCATATGGTATATAGTTTCTTATTGCAAAGGTAATAAGCCCATGTGAAAATAGAGACAAAAGTAAGAAATGGAAATAATTTCTAACTTCACTCAGGAAAAGATGACATTAATGCTTCGGTATACGTCATTATATTCTTATTCTGGAAATACATACTTAAAATTTTAACAAAAATTTGAAGTAATACTTCTGTATATTGTGTTTCATAACTATTTTGCATTTTAAATGCAAATTCTCTTGTTATCTAGGGATTCAAAATCAAGTAATTTGGTGAGAGGTGTTTACTTCTTTTGATTGCTAGGCTAAGAAAGTAACAACAAAATATGAGTCTTTATTAGAAAATGAACTCTCACCTTCAATCCTAGCACTTTGGGAGGCCGAGGTGGGCAGACTGCTAGAGCTCAGGAGTTTGTGACCAGCTTGGGCAACATAGTGAAACCCTGTCTCTACAAAAAATAAAAAAAGTAGCTGGCATGGTGGTGCACACCTGTAGTCCCAGCTACTCTGGAGGATGAGGTGAGAGAATTACTTGAGCTTGGGAGGCAGGGGTTTCAGTGGGCAGAGATTGTGTCACTACAACTGCATTCCAGCCTGGGCAACAGAGGGAGACCCTGTCTCCAGAAAGAGAGAGAGAGAGAGAGAGAGAGAGAGAGAGAGAGAGAGAGAGAAAAGAAAATGAACTCTGATCAAAACAGGGGCAATCTTCACTCAAAATTCCCTGGCATGGTCCATCTCTGACATTCTTCTGTGCTTTAGCTCTCCCATCACTTGAATTTCTTTAGTGAATTAAATTAAAATTTCATTCCACTTTCCAAAGGCATAGGTTCTAGTAAAATCTACAGAGCAGATAATTCTAACCAACTGAGACATGAATCTCTCACAAAAAGTTAGGACTGCTACTTCGGTGGATCCAGAAGATGCTCAAATGTCGTTTCAGACATTTTTGTAAACCAACAGCCCCAAATAAGAGATTAAACAATTTCCAAGATATTTAGGTTCCAGGGACAATGGTGTACCTAACATGATTACATACTTTTTATCTCACATAATCGTCATGGCAACTTTGTAAAATAGATCTTATGCTCATTCCCATTTTATGGAGAAGGACACTGAGGCCAGTGGTACTGAGCAACTTGCCCAAAGATAGATAACTGGCCGGGCGCAGTGGCGCACGCTTGTACTCACAGCACTTTGGGAGCCCAAAGTGGGTGCATCACTTGTCAAGAGTTTGAGACCAGTCTGGCCAACGTGGTAAAACCCCATCTCTACTAAAAATACAAACTTTGCTGGGCATGGTGGCATGTACCCATAATTCCAGCTACTCGGGAGGCTGAGGCAGGAGAATTGCTTATACCTGGAGGCAGATGTTGCAGTGAGCCGAGATCATGTCACTGCACTCCAACCTGGGCAACAGAGTGAGACTCCAACTAAAAAAAAAAAAAAAGAAAGAACTGTTCATTCTTTTTATTCTAAATCCGGTGCGTTTTCTACCACCCACAGCTACTTCAATCACTATAAGGGCAATTAAGACAAATGCTACATTATTGTCATTTAACAAGTTAAATATTTTGAAAAAAATCAGGCTCCTTCCTTATATCACGCTTTAAAATGCATTTTATATTTGAAGGTGGGAAGAAATTTGACTGCATCGAAGGTTTTAAGATATATATCCAAAAACATCATGAATGACATTAAAAGACAAACTACAGAGAAAAAAGGTTAATATTTTTAAGCTGGTTCTTTAAATTAAGATAAGAAATTTAGCAAAGGATATCAGCTGGCAATTAACAAAAGAAGAAATACAAGATGACAGTAAATAGAAACAAGCACTCGGTCTTAATAAAATGAAAATTAAAACTTACAGATGTCATTTTTTGCCAATCAACTAGTATAGTTTTTTTTTTAATGATATAATGCCATATACTAATACCAGAGATGGCAATGGCACAGTACAAGATGTCCCTCTCTTGTCTTGCTACAGGGTGATTCATATTTGATGACAGGCTAAGATATCAGCATACAAAAGAATTGTCATTGTGCAAACTTAGTGGTGAATTTTGGTTGGGAGCCCACAGAAGGTAGTGATTATGCGCGTGCACGCGCGCACACACACACACACACACACACACAGAGGAGTCTGATCACCTGATTATCTGTTTTCTGAGTTTGAGCCAGTGCAAGACACACAATATGTTCTAAATAAGTGTTAGCTAATATGGTCAACACAGAAAGGGTGGGAGATGATGTCAACAACCTTACACAGTGAAATTCACAGCTGACTTACAGAGTCAGGTCCTTTAGAAAAACTAATCTGCATTTAAGGGAATGTTGCTAAGCTGTCAGATCCATTAGTTGTGTGTGACATCATATCTCATCAATAATATTTTCACATCTTACTTTTGCAGTAGTATTCCATACTTCTGTTTACCTACATTTGGATTCAAGCACATTTTGCCATTGACAAATGATGCTGAAAGATTCAATGAAATTGTGAAGAATCAGAAAATTTCTGCTAATATCGACACACCTGAAGGGGGATTTGATGCAATTATGCAAGCTGCTGTGTGTAAGGTATGCTGAAGGGAGTGCTGTTTCACTCTGTAAACGTGAAGTTAATCTCTTATTAACAATTGTACTTCAAAAGGATTAGCTAATTTCCTTTCTTTTAATCTCTAAATGTCTATATTTTGTATTTTTCTTAAAATGCTCATTTTTGCCAAATATTTATTAACTTATGCTGAAATGGGAACTGTTCTTTATATCTAATATTTCAATAATCTAAGAAAATTGTTGTGTTGGGAAAATTTAGTTGAAACAATAGCCATGTATGATTAATTTTCTAAGATTAAGATCATATTCTTTTTTGGATTAATCATGATGAAAAAAATCAAGGGTAGAAAATTTATTTAAAAAACTTAACATGCTCTGAATCAGTATATATCCATACATATGACTACATAGCTATTGTTTTGAACTGACAAAATAAGGTTCAGAAGTTTGCTGTCTCTACAACATCGCAGGAACATTGCTCCTCCTTGACTATCTGACAAGTATCCACAAGAATGATTCCCCTGTCTTTAGGCAACAGCCCTTCGTGGAAAATATCAGGAGATAAACAGGGTTGCATCCCCTAGAAGGTGGGATGGCCAAGGAGTTAGAGGAGGAAGAAAAGGGATAAGGTGGGATGGAACAGCCAGGATGCGTTTTTACCCAATTAGTTCCTGGACTAATTTTAATTAAAGGGGAGGGCTTTGCTAAACACCAGCAACAGACATTTATAATTAGCAGGACATTGGGGCCGTACTTTCATAAGCAATTCTTATCCTCATATTAGGTTTATTATTTTTAGATGATATCATTAGAAAGAGAAATATGTTCCTAAATGTTGGGTGACGTTTTAATGAAACAGGTTTACTTTGAGCCCCTTTAATATTGCATTTTGATGAGTTTTGCTTCAGTTTGGATTTGGGATCATCTATGGCCTCCTTTGCTCAATTTTTTTGGGTGAATTGAAAGCTGGATAGTAAAAATAATTTAAATAAGTAAAAGTCAAGATCAACTGAATACTGACTGTAGTGGAGCTATTTTTCTGAAGCATAAGTCATACAAAAATGTTATCCAGGAAAAGCAAATGTCACAGAATTTCATGTATTTAATACATTAATATTATGGATGCACAATAGATAAAAATGCTAAAATAGACTAGCAATATTTTTTATAATCTAAATGTGTCCAAGCATAATTGATCCACACTCAATAAATGCCTGCCTCCCTCCAATAACCACAAATGTTTCTTCCCCACGATAGGAAAAAATTGGCTGGCGGAATGACTCCCTCCACCTCCTGGTCTTTGTGAGTGATGCTGATTCTCATTTTGGAATGGACAGCAAACTGGCAGGCGTCGTCATTCCTAATGATGGGCTCTGTCACTTGGACAGCAAGAATGAATACTCCATGTCAACTCTCTTGGTGTGTAACCTGCACTCTGTACTGTTTTCAGGGCTATAAGTAGGAGAATAAAGCAACCACTGGTGTAATACACATGAAATAACTCAGGCTTGGTGAAAGCAGTACACATTTTCTAATTTGAGATTAACAAGTTGCCACAGCTCAATTCACACCATCATTAGAGTCTCCCACAGGATCATAGGTGGGTGGTAGGCCATGTGGCAAGATGGATCTGCTATGAACTGCATGATCCCAGAACCTCCCTAACTTCTCAAAACACCTGGTGCTGGTGTAGCAATACAGGCAGCTCATTCTGTTCTCAGCCACAGCTTCAGAAAGGAGGGACCCAGACCAAGACAGTAACAAGATAGAATTTGCTGTGAATGATGGTCCCTGAGTCATGCGTGCTTTCATGTTCCATGGGTAACAACTAGTCAGGTATGGCTTGGTTGGTGCTTATTAACTTTTGGGTTATTTTTTGTCATTTATAAAATGCTAGTGACAGTCAAAGAAAACAATTGACTTTTGTAAAACCAGGTCAAAATTTCAGAGATCTTTGGACATGCGTGATCTCCTCAATAGACCCCTATGTATCCAACTGCTTTTCCTGAACAGACCATGAGGCTGCCATGGTTGTGCACATGTTATTCCCTCTTCCTGGAATATCCTTCCCTCCTAGGCTGCTGAGAAACTCTTCATTATCCTTAAAACACCAGCTCAGTCATTACTGCCCCCAGAGAGCCTTCCTTGACCTCTGCTAGACTCTGAAGCAATCGTCTTTCCCTCTAGTCACATACACAGATGAATTCTTATGTATCTCAATATAGAAATATGTTTTCTTACAATCTGTCTGTCTTTCTTGCACAATCCTCAGGACCAGGCCTGGTTTATTATCTCTGTTTCCTGATAGCACAGTGCCTAGAACAGAGTGGGTGCCAACTAATGTATGAAATAGATTTGACTTCTGAAGCAGCAATCTTGGATTGTCATATTGTCCCCATTTAACACTTGGAGAAATATGGTACAGAGAATTTAAGTGACTTCTTAGAACAATGCAGTAGAGGTGTAGGTGGGGGTGAAAGAGAGAGGGAGGGGAGACAGGAACCTAGAATTCTAATGTCAATTGGGAAAACTATTCTCTAAAAACTCTTAATAGTTCATTACTCACTACTATTCCTTGACCTAAATTTATGTATTTCAACATGAATGTTTTCCCCTAACCTTTGATTGGTAGTAGTCCCCAAATGTGTATATTCTTTAGTCACATACTGTGCCTTTTCATATTACAGTATCAGTGAGGATAGCCACATGTTGTCTTTTAGTTAGTGAGGGGCAAGAAACTGGGAAATTGATCCCCTTCCCATTACCCTTTCCTTGTAACTTTTCAAAAACTCCACAGAAAGTTCCATTTTGAATGAGGGAAGGTCATAGAAGCTAACACTACCTATTGCCTAATATGACCTTCTCATCTAATAAATGTTCAAATCCTTCTTTCTGAATACGTTGCTACAAATGCACAGAAGGCAGAGACCATATCTGTGCCTGCCTGCAACATAGTCCTCCAGGTCCTCTGAGCACTTCTTGTGCACTCAAAACTGAAGCCAGATTCCTCAGGCCAAAAAATGATACAAGGTGGTTCCTGGCCTTGAAATTACAATATGGTTGTGGGAATTAAACCAACAGATTTGATTCAAATAGAAAACCAGCTTTGCTCACCTACGAAGGGCAATGTGGTGTGATCTGGCTACACACTCACAGCAGCTGAAGGGTGTGGGAACGTGTGGAGGTAAAAAGGGACTGGCACTGGAGGGATTTAGGCTTCAGGGTGACGGATGTTTGGACAGTAGTTGAAAAGCAGAGGAAATGGATACTATTTGGTATCTCTGTTAATAAAAATCCAAATGCGATGGAAAGTACATATGGCATCGCCATTTGCAGTTGGATAATTTATTGGAGTATTTTAGGCAAAACTACACTTTTCTCTCAACTTGAACCTTGTATGTAAAGAAGACTTTAGATGAAAATACTCCAGTAGTACTGAGAATCTGTGAATATTCCATCTGAGTGTACAGGAGGGCTTATTTATCAGTGTTCCCCCATTTGACTGACCTCTGTCATAATTAACATATTCTTACTTTGTGAATTAAGTGAGGTACTAGCTTAGTACCTCACTTGAGTTTCCTCTTTGTACATTACTCACATTTCGATTCATATAATGGGCAAATGCACATCATGTTTTCTAAAACTGAAAAGTAAAATTCATATTCAAATTTAAAAATTAAGCTTCTTTTGTTTTTTAGAAAGTACTCATATCACTTGGGAATGAATATGCCAATGGAACAGAACTACAATGTAGTTTTCAATTGTCCTGTAAAACTACTGCAGGATTTCATACAACCAACTTGTATTTTTTTTTTTTTCCTTTTTGTGGAGAACGGGGTCTTGCTATATTGCCCAGGCAGGTCTCGAACTCCTGGGCTCAAGCTATCCTCCCGCCTCTGCCTCCCTAAGAGCTGGGATTACAGGCGTGAGCCACAGTGCCCGGCACAACCAACTTATGATATTAAAAAGGCAGTAAAACCAAATCTAAGGATTAGTACAGGAATGTCATAGTATGTCATACCTCAGCAACCCTCATTCCACTTCATCCAGTTCCAGTAAGAGTTCAGAGCTACAAGAGTCACCTCAGTCACGTATATCACAGTCCAACAGCCCCTCCTTCAATGGTAACATTCCTAGCCTGCTGGTAAGTGTCACTTAGAAGGAGAAGAAATGTTTCTCCACCCTTGAAAATATGATATACTATTAGTCTTTAAATAAATTTCAAATGGCCTTCTTAGAAGTGGCAGAGCGTGATACACCACATCAATAGGAACTGACTCTTAGGAATTTATTGGATTATAAAATTTAGAAAAGGATTATTAAACCAAGTCAATAATGCTAGTTGTGTATTTGTTTACTTAGAGTGATAGAACTATAACGCCTGTGAGCATTAAAATGCCAACCTTAGAAAGATATCCTTGAAATAAATATTCCTTTCTTTATATTATTTTATTGAGATGACACAAAATTATATATGTTAATTTTAGGAATATCCAACAATTGGACAACTCATTGATAAACTGGTACAAAACAACGTGTTACTGATCTTCGCTGTAACCCAAGAACAAGTTCATTTATACGAGGTAAGCAAAAATAACTTGGGAAATTCCTTCAAAGAGATTATGTGACATGAAACTTTAACATTAACTCTGAGTTTAACACATGGGAAGGCCATTAGATAATCATTAACACATACCAACTGTACTGGGCGCTTGGCTAAGCAGACTCATTTACTGTTTTCAATTTAAATTGTAAATACTGAACACTGAGGTTCAGTAGGGCATGGGGAGCAGATAAGGTGGGATGAGAAAGACCAAGTTAAGGAAATGAAACAAATATGCTGAAGGAGAGTGCCAATAAATATAGGACCATTAACTATAAGAAAATGTGTTCTCTCTCCCCTTGAATTCGTTCATCTGATGAAGGAGTTAACAGAGACCCGAGAAAATCTTAAGAGTGGGAGGAGAATTGACTTCACCTTCTTTGGCATTTGCAAATTAGACACACAGAAAAGACACACACAGTGACACAAGCTATTGAGAAGTGGAAAGTTAAAGGGGAAAAAAAAAAAACTTTGTTATATGGGGTCAAAAGATAATTTATCCCTTAAACCAACTGGATTTGCAGTGCAAGTGTTTGAATGGAAGTACTCGCTGCAAAAAGGGAACAGTTTCATTAGATGAAGTGCTGTCCCTAAACCACCGTGCAAACTGCAAAAAACACAATACATGCACATGCAAAAGATTTCTGTGGTTTTTTTTCCCAGCCTAAGAAAAATAATATGTCAGAATACCCTGAATTGATTTACTCTTAATCTGCAGTTTTACAGAGAAATAAGGAGTCTTTAGCAGGGGCCCTAAAAAAAATGCAGAGAAATTAAATAGTCTGTTCCTTCGGCGCAGAAGCGTCAAATGCTCCTCAATTCAGGGTTTGATCTCTCATTCCTTTGGAAAGAACCTCTTAACTTGCTTGGTGACTTCACAGGGCTCCTGAAACTCTGAGATTATGTCACAGAAGGCTTTGATTAAATGCCACTCACCACTAAGGACGGTACACCCCCGTGAACTTGCATCAGGTTCTGTAGAAAGGATCCAGCAGGAGATGCTATCTTGCATTTTGAATGAGAGGAGGGTATTGTATTCCCAGGTGAGACTGCCTTCTGCTGCAGACCAAGGAAGTTCCTTGCAATCAAACTCCATACTTGAAACCTTTGTTCTACTCAGAGACCATACTGGTTCACCTGATCTGGGCATTTTCTTCAGGCTCTATAGTATGTGATATTTGTTTCCAGTGGTTTTAAGTAGTAGAATTGCAGTTGAGATTTTTTTTTAAATACCCCCAAATACAATAGTGAGTCTATTCTGCCTTTGATCCTCAAGGCTAGTGTGAGAGGACCCTGGGGGTCGCAACACCTTCTCCACAGCAAGGCTCCAGTTGAGAAGTGGGAGGAGGAGTTGCACAGAACTTTTCTTCAAAGGGGAGTCTGGGGAATGCAATTGATGATTGTGAACATAGACTCCCATAACTCACTTTGGTAATAGCCTTTAAGACCCACAACTCATTTATAGATCTCCCCAAAACCACTATTAAAAAGACAGAGGAAGATGAAAAATAACTACGTGGCAAAACAGAATCTGTCAGATTTAAGCTTGTTGCATCCATGATTCCCCTGTTCCAAGGGAAATGATCATTTCCAATGAAAATGCCAGATTAGAGCCTGCCTCTAATGTAACAGCAGGACATTTATTTTGCCTGTCTTCTAATCTCATTATGAGGCGAATTTATGTTCTGTCATGATCTGTGGTCTTTGCCATCCAGGCTTCACTAAATTCAAAGGGACATTTTCAGGGGGTCATCTGATAGTCCAGGTCAGCCATCCACTCTATGACTCTGACCATTTCATTATTTCGTTTTTATTTTGATGGGCTCATCATTCCATGTGCATTGGTGGAGGCAGGCAGCAGCCTGGTCTGCAATAACAGCAACATTGCACATGCCTGAAGCCTTCACACAGCATGAAAATGCTGATCTCTCATTTTATTGATAATGAAAACTGAAAACAGATCACTAATGGCTTGTGTTGCCTTTCAATTCACATCTTTTAGAAGAAACCCGTGTGTGCAGGAGTCCTGTGAAATTTGATCTTTGGATAACTGTGATATACGGAATGTAGCTACTGAAGAATCACTGAAAAATAAAACCAGTGATAGGATAAATGAAGCAATTAAGTGTTTAGATCTCATGGAAATTCCAGAATGAAAATTATTTGCCCGAGTTACATGTTAAGCATAGCTACTTGCCTGCACAGGCGACAATGATTAGGTTCAGTGAAGGCCCTGTCTGCAGCAAATAAGATTTATGTTGCCCACTCATGGAATGCAGGAAAAAATGACTGAATTTTTAGTAATTGTGGCAGGACACTTTGGACTGCCCAGGTGTCTAGTGTTCCTGTACATTGTTGTAACAGAGATAAACAAACAGTGAAAAGGATAAAGTAAGCAGTTCTGCCTTCAGCTCAATATGACTGCAGTGTGCACCCCAGACTCCAGCCAACAGATTATTTTTGAACAAAGTTATTATTATGAATAGTTTCCTGTTTGTCCAATTATAGGGTTCTAAAGATAACGATGATAATAGACTGAGCAGTGTGTAGTATATTACATCCTAGTGCTAACTACCATTTTGAATCAGGATTCAATAACCCAAGTTAAAAAAAAGTTTTATATTTCCTCTGTTGTTTTTAAATGTTTACTGCTAATTTATATTAAGATAGTATCAGACCACTAAACCTTAACTGTCTTATTTGAATAGTTTTTCCTTCCTAGCATGCTATTGATATAAAAAGCAATTAAATCAATATTCTTTATGACATTGTCAAATCAGATTATTAATCACTGCGGGCTATTTGCAAGGCTTTAAAATATCCTATATCTATTCCAAATATCTACATCTGACTGGAAAATATGACTTTAGTGAAGTTAATAGCAATCATTATTATATAACCTGATATTTGTGATGTGATGCTGAAACACAGCAATTAGAAAGTAAACGAGGGGCTGGGTGCGGTGGCTCACGTCTGTAATCCCAACACTTTGGGAGGTCAAGTTCGGGTGGATCATGAGGTCAGGAGTTCAAGATCAGCCTGGCCAAGATTGTGAAACCCCATCTCTACTACAAATGCAAAAATTAGCTGGGCACAGTGGCAGGCACCTGTAATCCCAGCTACTTGGGAGGGAGGCTGAGGCATAAGAATTACTTGAACCCAGGAGGTGGAGGTTGCAGTGAGCCGAGACCATGCCATTGCACGTCAATCTGGGTGACAGAGCAAGACTCCATCTCAAAAAAAAAAAGAAAAAAGAAAGAAAGAAAGTAAACAAGAAGTACTATACTGGTACTTCCAGCTTACTCACTAATTTCTATGACCACTAATTAATATCTCTTGGCTATTAGGATAAAGTGATGTTTCTAAAGCATGGGGACGGGGGGCACAAGCAGGTTTTTATGCAGCCAAAGGGACGTTTCCGCTGGAGACAAAAAACCCTCAATCATTAGCTCCTTGAGGAGAATGACAGGTTTTACTCATCTGTTTAGGCCAGTTCTTGATGTGCAATAGATTCCTAGTAGGTATTTGTCAAATGAATTAAAAATTGCAATAAATGCATTTCATCTTTTTAAAAATTGAATCAAAAGAAAGGCTTGAAGTTTTGCATGACAAACACTTGTTAAGATTGAGGAAGCCCATGTGCACAGAGCAAGGGGGGGCACCTGAGCATTGCCAGGATCTTCTGCGGCTCTGGCTGTCCCTTCTTCCATCCCATCCACATTGGAGGCAAATGGCAATAGAGGAAAGAACACCCTGCCATCAGTCTCAGGACCAATGTTGGAGAAGCTCCACAGCCTTCCAGCAGGCTGTGAAAGGAACACCCTAAGCAAGTACCCACATGGCAGCCATTAGATCTACAAACAAATGTAAGCATCAGCCACATATGCTATGAGCCTGACGTTCTTGTGTGGCTTGTGGAAATTATCCACCATATATAAGTTTTTTTTTCAGGAATCAATAACCCAGCTGTTATTTAACCTCTTCTTTCTTCTACTTGGTTCTTTTGAGCTTTCCATTGTAGCAAGGGAGGAAAAGAGGCAGACAAAATAGAGAAAATAAAAATTGGACCCCTTTGCCATTTGCTGGCCTGTTTTATTATTGCTTAGTTTTATAATGTTCCTGTTGGAAAAGATCAAAACAATTTTGCTTCAGTGGAAATCTCTTGATCTCTCTGGCCTCAGTTTTTAGAAAATAAAAAGACAGGGCGGGGAGACTTCCAGCCTCGACAGTCAATGACCTTGATTCTGGAGGAGGGAAATTACCATGAATTCCGATGATCTCCATACAATTCAGCAAGCTGTACTATAGCTAATTTTAGGGCATAGTCTAGTTATTCTTTATCCTATCAATCTCATTCTGTAAGTGGAGTATTCCAAACTTGTGATTTTAGTAAAAATAAAATCATATAGGAGTAAAAAGACAAATTCTGAATTATGAAACATCTCCATGGAGTTAATAAATTGCTCTTTATTTAAGTGCAATGGAAAGTATTTTCATTTCTCCTTAATTGATAGTATCTTGGAACAAAGACTGAGGAGGGCCAGCTGCCTACACTTTCCTCATTAATGAAAACATCCCTTAGAGAGGGAGGATTTGGAAATAAACCTTATGTCCTCAGATCATCAGTCAGAGTTGTTGGGAGTGTTTTCCAAGCTAATTAATAAATCCTAACCATGAAAAATCATCAGTTTCTCCTTAGATCACACATAGTACTTTTCTTCTAAAGAACGCAAAGCCTTATAATTGAGAAAGTATACATAAGAAAGAAAAAGGTACAGGTTTAAAGCAGGATCTCAAGGAGATGCTTGATTAGGCCAACACTTATAGAAATATAACATGGGATTTTTTTTTTTCCTTGAGACAAGAGTCTCACTCTGTCACCCAGGCTGGAGTGCAGTGGCATAATCTTAGCTCACTGCAGCCTCCACCTCCCAGGTTCAAGTGATTCTCGTGCCTCAGCCTCCCGAGTAGCTAGGATTA